GTATAACTAATGGTGGTTCCTAGATCATCAGGTCTCAACTCACTGAACAACATGCACAGAGCTGGCTCACACCCTCTGCAACTTAGAGGGTCCTCCTGTTCCTCTAAGAAAAACTTAGGTTAATGAGAGCCTCTAGACCTTTTTCGAGCGCTTCCTGCCCAAATTATATGCAACAAAAATGTCTCATTGTGTTGTTCCTTTGCTAAGTTGCCAGACGTTCAAAATCCCTATAAAAAATTTCAACATATAAACTACATTAACATAGTTATTTATTAGATACTACCCCCCTCTATGGGGAAAGTCATACGCAAATAAGTTTGGGAAACCCTGACTATCTTATCACGTATGCTGCCTTCATACGTTCTTAGTTCATAATATACACGTACCTGTTTTGTAATATTTATCTTAAAATTTATAAAAATGATGAAACTATATTTATGTATCTCAGACATGCAATGATTACTCTTATGCACGCAGTTGGGAGGACGTATTTGGCAAGGACGTATGCATACACCGTACTGTGACCGTACGTTGTGCATGATTCGTTACCAAGCAACCAATCAACAACCAGATTCCGCCAGATTCCTACCGGGAATTACCGGGAATATATTTCATAAACAAATACAAGCAAAAATATGCAATGAATTGAGGTGAAAAAACAAAAGAACTGTTCGTAAAAAATACGGAAAAATTTGCATATTTATATACCAAATAAACACATGGTTTTATCGTGGTTTTATCATGCTTTTATCATGGCTGTATGGGCTTAAGTCGCTAAAAGAGGTTCAGTTAAATATGTTCGTTTATCGAAGGATTGTTTTACACGAATACATGGCCATGGGTTCATTTTCATGGGTTTAATTGCTGAACGACTGTATCTTCGCTTGAAATATAATAGACAGAATCTAAATGGATTTAAGCGTGAGTATTTTATTCCACATCTTGTCTTTACACGAGATCAGGTTTTCATATCGCTTTAATATATGACAAAGGAGCATTTTAACAACTTCGCATAACAAAATGTGATGTAACAACTGCCTAAAATGGGTAAAAACACCTTCGACACTTCGACCTAGAGCCTTTGTCTGTTAAATCAATTGTGCTTTCAATGGCGCTTAGGACGAAACGTTAGGTAGTCTTTATCAAATTTAGGCAGTTGCGTACTACATTTGATGTGAGATATACCTACGCAACTTTTTGACCGGCCAAGTCCTGGCTGTAGTGTTTTCATTTTTTTGGGCTGTTTGTATGCTGTCAATAATTGTTGAAAGCATTGCATGACATGTACATGTACGAATTCTTCGAACCAAACGGAATATGTAAAACCAAAATATATATTATAAAATTAGCACGGATGTAGAAATATAGCAAAATTATTTAAACACGTATTTTCGTTCCTACATGCACGTCGTGGATATGATAAAATATTGCCCTTTGTATTATAATTTTACGTTATGAGTTACGATTTGAAGATGAACATTAAATGCATCAGGGAATAAATATCTAGGCCCGTTTAACTTTGAGTATTTGCTAGGTTTCAGTGCGGTTTTCGATTCGTCTTATCAATCTTATGATAGATGCGAAGGAGCCAGTGTCACTGGCAAGTACACAAATTAGGTTCTTGCCACATGACGTATCTCGAAAGTTGTAAATAGTCGGGCACCTTTTGAGACAAAAATCAACCGAATGCCGAGTACACGCACGAACGCACGACCCTTCCTGGCTACATTGTACCTTCGTTTTTCGTCCGCTTTAATAACTGCACTTATCTAATTTGTATCCAAAATGGCGGAAGCTACAAGGTGCAAATAATTTGTTCACTGTGAGTTTTCCAACTATTACGGGAGGGCCGTGTTAACCAGTAGCATTTTTCTTGCAACTTGCAATGCAATTCCAGGATACAAATTGGATAGCAATGTTCACAACAATTTGCGGAGATTTCCGTATATTTCGAAAACACTTCACTAATTTACATCTCTCAAGAGTAGAATTACATCAAGATGCAAGAATAATTGCTCCGTGTCACTATGCACGTTGAGCTGCAATTAATTGCTATTAACATCTGTCAAAAAAAGAAAATTTCAATTTTACCGAGCTATTAGTCGGTCAGAGTTTCTCAAGAAATTAAAATGAGTAAATGATATGATCGTGAAAGTGGTTTTATCATCCAGACAATAGCATTTGCTAATTTTTCTTATTTAAATTTACATGGGCGGGGCGGATCGCTAAATCGATCAGAGTCCAGAATACAGCCTGTGAAAAACTATCGGGGTTTAAGGAAACTTAAAGATAGAGAAGAGACACTAAAGGACTATTCAGGTACACGCGACTGTATTTTTTGCCTCAACTAAAATCATGCCAGGTGCGAAATTTTACGTTTCAAAATACGTACGTTTTGAAAAAAACCTAAATATTTTGTCCGCCTTTCATGTATTATATAAACTAGATTTATAATTAGATATATTTTGTCTCACATTGTTTGTCTGCTATTTACATAAAAATTGCAGGTTATAAATCACTGTTCAACAAAAATGATAATTTCCTATATCATAATTCTTGTCTCGATACGTTAAGTTATATCTCTCATTGTGTTAACCAAGTAAAATTAATATGTGTTAATGCTTCATGTCATACGAATTTACAGTTATCCCTTATGTGAATAATCGTTTCCTTTAACTCAGTCTGGTCAAAATTTATCAACTTTATGTTTTTAATCAATCAAATCATAGTATTGAATTTCATGTTACCAGTACACATGTTTCTGCAGTGTTAAAACAAAAACTGGGATTGATATTAAAGAGAGATTACTTAGGTAACAGCCAGTTTTCTGAGGAATAAAAGGTTGGGTGAATAGATATAAGAGACAATAGTTAAGTAGATTTTTTAAATCCAAACCTTTAATATTGAATGAGACATTGAATTATTTATTTAATCGATCAATAAGGAAATCCTAGGAAATCTGTCTCATATATATATATATATATATATATATATATATATATATATATATATATATATACATACATATACATATATATACATATATTATATATATATTATATATATATATATAATATATATATATATAATATATATATATATATATATTATACACCCATTTGCAAAAACGTTGGCCGCAGATAGATAGATAGATAGATACTCGAAATCTAATTAGAATTGCATATGATTACATTTGCATGGGATTTCAATCATATTACACAACATATGCAATTCTAATTAGATTTCGGGTATCTATCTATCTATCTATCTGCGGACAACGTTTTTGCAAACGGGTGTATATATATATATATATATATATATATATATATATATATATATATATATATATATATATATATATGAGACGATATAGATAGATACAAGAAGTCTAATTAGAATTGCATATGATTACATTTGCATGGGATTTCAATCATATTACACAACATATGCAATTCTAATTAGATTTCGAGTATCTATATATATATATATTATATATATATATATATATATATATATATATATATATATATATACACCCATTTGCAAAAACGTTGGCCGCAGATAGATAGATAGATAGATACTCGAAGTCTAATTAGAATTGCATATAATTATATTTGCATGGGATTTCAATCATATTACACAACATATGCAATTCTAATTAGATTTCGAGTATCTATCTATCTATCTATCTGCGGCCAACGTTTTTGCAAATGGGTGTGTATATATATATATATATATATATATATATATATATATATATATATATATATATTCAACGTACAAATTAGTACATTAAATAGTACATGCACAGAACTGTTTATACATACAAGCCTGGCCTAACCTGTATGTGGCTAGTGAGTAATATATAGAGAGTATTAAGGTACTTGATTAAGATTAGGTAAGATTAAGATTAGGTAAAAGGTACTTGTATGATTTGGGAATCGGGTTGGGTACGTAAGATAAATTCATGCTTCCCAATAATTGTAACCCATATCCTGCTGTATGATTTAAAAAAAATTCATATATTCCAAATCATGCAATAGTTTGGTACGCTAAAAACTATTTGATTGAGTGTTTTTACTGCTTTTTATTTTTGGCTAACTTTGGGTATAAGCATTTCGTATTAGTTTTGCTTAAATATGTAATGCAATAAAGCAATTGATGTTGTTGTAATATCCACACAATTTGTGCAGAGAATTCCTTTGTAAGATGAGAGGGGAAGAGATATTGAGATTAGCTGGGAGAGCAAAAAAATTTCTTCCCCCCCCCCCGGCGCGCTTCATGTTGGCGGGCGAGATTTTTGACTGATGTGCGAGAGTTCCTAGGTCCGCTCTTGCCGGCGGTGACGCGGGCTTCGATACTTCGGGGTCGTCTCATGCTTCTGTGGGTCTCGGAGAGCCAGGTTCATGTAAACAGCTCCTTAGTTGTGGGCTTGTGAACAGCATTCCCTAGGAAAAAATCGGGAGAGGGCGTCGCTGTGAGGGGTGGGGCCATGTGCGTACATTGTTTTTTAAAACCATTTCGTCCAAATCATCGGTTTGATGCTTTTGTTTGCTTTGGCCAATGTTCGGGCCAACCCGTCTTGTTGAGTTTCGCCGTGCGTTCTCACTTTTGAAAGATGATCCGCAAAAATAGTAATAAATGTTTTGAAGAGTTTAGGTTCTTGAGGATTTTTTTAGCTAAAAAGTTTCAAAACATTTTTTTGACACGGGATTCAACAGTGTCACAGTGAAGTAAAATGTCAGCAAATGTGGAGAAATTGCCCAACAATTTTTTGGCAAATTTGAGAGGTGCAGTACGGCTTTGTACGCTTTAAAAATATAAAAACGAAAACACTTTTAGAAACTATGTGACCAGACATTTTTCAGTTCGAAAATTGAATTATCAGAGTACGTCATTACGTTCCAAGACAAAAGTCAATAGGTCTCACTGCCCCCGTGAAAACCATGCAGTGAATTTACATAATTAGTTAAGAAAATGTAACATTAACTCTCCGTCAGGCTGATGCGAACAACGATATCGACGAAGAAGCTGTTATAGAAAGTCTATTCACTGGCTGCGATGCCCAAGGCAACGGTTTGGTGAAGGTTTCGAAACTTGTTGAATATCTCAGCGCGGTCGCAGGTGATAATGTCGAAGTAAGTTAAAAGTAAAGCTACACGCATTAAGCTATAATGTATTTCAGTATATCCAAGCGCTGATTGTTCGTGCTTATATAGTCATCTAATACATTCAGTCATCGCATGGCATAATGCATGCATGGTTCAGAGATTTCAAAATGAGCTTGCCACAGTTGATTTTGGTCCCAGGATCACCGCGGTTAAATCGTTATGTTGCGGGTTTCGTGATTTGCGGTTAGAAAAGGGTGGCGGTTAGGGATTGGGTTCATTGAGAGCCGTTGGCATCCTCCGAAATTTCATGGTGTCAAAACCATAACAAAAAAATAGAATTATGTATCAGTACATTGTATCGTTACGAATGATAATGTTACACGATTATTATACGTATTCATTACAACGTCAACGTATTTGTTACGTAGTTTGGTGGAAATTTTGACGAGCTTGTTACGGCGCTTGATCCGAAAGGCAATGACAGGGAAGTTGATTTGGAAACTTGTCGTAAGGGAATGCTGCAGTGGATTGAAGAAATAAGATGCAGGGAGTATGTAGTTTTTGTTTGCATACGAGTCGTTGAATTACGATCACATAAAATTATTAAGAATTTATCTTTATTTATGGTAGTCATAATTTATTGAAATGATGGTAGGCATTTTGGTGTAACCACTCGGTGGGTTACCGTGATAATTTAGAGGTAATGTACTCCCTTGATACAAATTAGTTGCTTTGGCGCCTCTTTGAGTCCCAAAACGTTTTAAAGCAAGAATTCAAAAGACTCGTGTGCTTGATAATAGACCCCTTAAAATTATTTTCCTAAGTATTCTAACAGGATGGAAAAATTCAGCGCGTTATTGACTTAAAATTAAACTTTTCGAGGAAGAGATGTAACGGGTCGAACCATGCTTTTAGACTGTCCATGATTGCTGGTTTCTAAAATAATTCCCACATAATTTATAATCAATGGCAATTCCTCTCTGAATATGTGAAATATTGATAAAATTATTTGCCGCTTAATAATTCATATTCACTCCTGATTTTGGATCCGTAGTTTCACCGTTAACTGCCATTAATATTTCGTAGCCATTGTAACTAATTTGTGCTTGTGATACTTTAATTCTTTTAAGTTCTCTTGTGTACGGGAAAACGTTTTCCTAGCACAGCCAAAAAGGAAAATAACTTCTGCATGTATGCTCCCTGGCACCCTGCACTAAATTTAACAATCTTCTATACCGTGCCTATTTTAGTGATCGCGAGGAAGTTTACTATTCGGATACATCGCTTGAGAATCGAGTAAGTAAACCATTGTATTATTAATTTTCATGTTTATCTGAGACTCGAGAGAGCATCGAAAAATATCTTGTCATTTAAACTGATCAAATCTTTGAGTTTCTAAACCTTTTTATCAAAACCAACAAAATATGCACCTTACCAATTGCAAAAAACATGCTTGCCGCAGGCGAGAGCTTTTAGCAAAATATTAATATAAATTACATCAGGTAAGAATACTCCTCAGTAAACTTTAAGTAGACTGGAACGATAACTCGGACGCCATCTTTGAAGTTTGAAACCAAATTAAAGGCCTCCATTGAGAATCCAAGGCCAAAACCCAAAAATGCGTACACAAAATGCGTTTATCGGGGAAAGCTGAATAACATTAAAGTAACAACCATTCTAGAGCGTTAGAAGGATGTTACTACGTTTTGGACCACGGTATTACGCTATCTACATTTTATTCCGCACTATAAAACTTGTGAATGATTACAGTGGCGGATGGGTGTGCAAAATAAATTACTACGGCTTAAAATCGGAATACCATTGGTAGATTTTAATGTAAAAATATTCTTTTCAAAGCTATAACCAATAACGTTGTTATTAAGATGCTTTGATTTTAAAATGAAGCTGTGTAATTTATTCCGCACACCCCCAGATCCGCCACTGAATGATTAGAACTATCTCAAAAACCTTCGAGTGGCCTTTATTTAAATGGAAGTCATGAGGTGAAAAAACATATTTTCCCCGCAACGTTATCCTATAGTCCATTTAAAAGTTCATATTTTTTGCTCGGTTCATGCATCTCAGTTGGTATCATAATTTAAATCGGCTGAATTTGGTCATGGTATACTTAAATGAAATGATCCACGGATTTAGTGTTCCATTTTTATATAGTTATAGAACTGACAATCATCGAACTATTCAAGCACGTCGGAACTAAAAGCACGTGTTATATCGCTTACGTCACTAGCGCAGCCGGCAATTGCTCACGTGCGCGACCTGTTGGTTTATGTTACTCTGCCGGTCCTAACCGGAATTGGTATGCTATAGCAACCAGCAAGTATATAATTCACAGACTTCCCGCTTCCGAATATAACGTAAGAGGCAAATTTCGTCTCATTTACATCTCTTGTCTTTTCAGCCAGCCGCAAGAAGTCGGGAATCTATAGATAGAAGTGGAGACGAAGGTAGGTTTGTAGACTGTATAAATGTTCATTAATTTAAGTCTTTTCATAGGCCTATACTCGCGAACACGACGGGCTCTGTGTATAAGTATAACTAAATGACTGATAATATTCAAAAGCAGCAGTTTAAAAGAAAAGTTAGAGCAACGCCTTGGCTTTAGCAGCGCGTTTAAACACTAAGGCTTATAAGTAAAGCAAGCTGAAAGGTTTGGAAAAGAAAGGAACAGCGCGCTCTCGTGCAAATTAGGGAAGAAATTTTGGCTCGGAGTGAGACACGAACTTCGGTTGATTGAGCTTTTAAGTTTTAATAATTCACACAAATTGCAGTTACAAGGACTGAATTACGTGGTGATATACAGATGAAAATAAGCTAAAAAATTAAATTATATTTACAACAATTAACATGTATGAATATAAAAAATTACATTTATACAGGCAAAATTTCTAAAGGTAGAAGAGTTTTTATAACAGTCTGTAAAAACCTGGGTAAAAGTTACAGTAAACTGGGTAAAACTATAACTAATCTAAGCTAAAACTATTTGTATCATATAAAGATTAAGGAGTATTCCTTAAAACGAGTTGAAAATGAAAAGGTACGAGATGAAAAGAAGAAGATGCCAAGGAGATATTTTCCTGACGTAGGCAAGCTATACGTTGAGCCAGAGCGAAAAGTGATTATCGCTATGCCCTTTTTGCGGCGGTATTCATTCGAAAAGAGTGAAAAGTGGCTTTGCATGCTCGAACTCAGGACAAGATCAGGAGTTGTCGATCGTGTATGATGCACGGAGGAGGCTGCAATGGAACAGCTGAAATCGAGTACCGAACACGCAGCTGTATGCATGAATGGCGCATATTTACTACCTCTGACGCTAACTAAAAAAAAATCGGCTTGAAAAAACCTGGCACAAATTAAACGTTCCAAGTCCAAGAAAAAAACCGCGGAATACTTCAATTAATTGACTAGCTATTTTATACTGAACACCATTTAATTCTAGGACTAGGTTGATTTCGACAATTCTTTCAATGCCAATGGCGGATCAGATCAGTCAGAATATATCCTGCCGCGGAATTTTAAATTCAAAAGTACTTGAATAAAATTAACATGTTATATTAGACTATTAGTTATGAATTTCTAAAGAATATTTTAGAACCCAAAGCTCCTGAATGGAACTATTTAAAGGCGATTTAAAATGTATATAAATATATCCGAATGTGAGCTGTTGCAATTTAATTCGGCTAACGCTAAATCCGCACTAATATGCGAAGGAAGATTCGTAAGTTCCGTCGCAAAATGTGATATAATTGCATGTGATTAGTTGTGAAAAATATAGCTTTTGGATTTAAAAAGCATGCAAATTTAGTAAATTCGAGTTTCGTGCGGCTGTATCCAGTCAAGATATTGTTTAATGTGCCATCTTAAATGTAGCTACGAGTCTACGACGCAGATGTGTCGGCAGGAAAATCGCTACAACGTGGCTTGCACAGTTGGCGACTATCAAATTTCTGCGATTACAATATATAGGCCGGCATTAGAAAGTTTGCCCACATGCATGTAAATTTCCACAAATGAATCCTAAGTTTAAAGAATAGTTTAAAGGAACTCATGCAGGTTCGTTTCATACGTCGAATTTTGGTCGCCTCAAATACAAAGGCTAACAATCCAAAATGAAGCTTAATCAGGCTATCAACTGAACGTCATTTCTCTTAATTGCGTTTGACGCCACCAAAACTCTTCGTATAAAACAAGTCCGAAACACCGCAGCATGCTCATTGTGAAATTTCTCACAAATTTCTCCCTCCGAATGTAGGACTTAGTATAGGATCTTAATGTAGGATCGATACGCAAAATCCCTAAAATGCAACCTGAACTTCGATAGTGTACATATATTATATGTGAACTTAGCTTTGGAGACTTAGCTACGTTGTCTTCAGGTTTGTTCATCTTAACATATATACTGCATGTATAGGCTCGCTATCACGGCGACTAGCCTCGCCAAGCAAGATACGAGATAGAACAATGATCGATTTTGTCAGCTGTTTTCTGTCGCCAAGAGCAAGAACACACTTTTAATTACAGCCTATTTTGCATATTGAAAAATACATAGAATAAACGAGAAATTGGATAAACACTACAGACGCAGGATGTGACAAAGGTTTTTGGATTAAGTGGCTTTTGTGAAATCGCTCAGCTATCTTACATTTCATCGTATGTGAAGTCACTGCATGTACACAGTTTTGGTTATAGTAAGTTAGCTTCCTAGTTTTAGGCCATTTGTAACAGCGTCTATGTCGATTATTGAGTGTTATTGTTTATGCATGTTCTCGGATATTCATTGTGTATTCTTCCAATGCCTTGACGTTTTGTGCATTCATGAAACGTAACTTACTTTCATTGCATGTTATAAAGACAAATTGTTAGCGTTCAAATGTCTGAGAAACGAAGAAAGCCGTGTGTTACAGTCTGCTAGGGTGCATGCATGTGAATCGAAACGAGCCTTGGCTTTCTCGGTATAGATGTGTTGCTACAGTGTCGCTTGCACACGTATTCTACGCACGTCCGCGTTTAGTAATGTTGACACGGATTGAAACATCGAACTTCATTCCGTTTAAAAGCAGACCGTGTAACGGTAAACCGTATAACGGTTTACAATTCACAACTTCAGTCTTGCTATATTTACTTAAAAATTCATGTTGCCGCAGGATTTACGAAACGTTTCAGTCAGGGTGGGTATATATATATATATATATATATATATATAATATATATATATATATATATAATATATATATATAATATATATATATATATATATATATATATATATATATATATATATATACATAAACGTGTATTGACGGGCCATTCAACAACTTTAAACTTGAAAGTTCTGCCGAATGGAGCGGCAAGTAGCCGCAGGGGCATGTGATGTGGCCGTCGAACGATCGTCGTCGCAGTCGGAGACGAACGCGAGGCAAGAACAGGTCGATTGCATGCATGTAGTCACGGCGATTTTTTTTATGATTATTAACGGAATATATATAGTCTCGCTGAATATAGTCTTGCAACATGTGAACCTATAGAAGTCTCTTGTCAATTGTCATACCTGTGGTATAAAACCAACGAGGTATGAACTCACGATAGACGACGGCGTAATTTGACCCCGTCACATGTCTCTGCGAAATGTCCCCGCAACCTGTGTCGCACGGTGTGACCAGCTTTATAACTTGTTTTGAACACTATATTAATAGTATTATTTATAACACTATAACAATATAACTGTTATAAAAATATAGCTCTGTTTACACTACACTCAATTTATCAGCACGTCAGGGCTAAAATGGGTACCCGTAATTTGGCCTTTTATTTGCCCTTGCTTGCTAAAAAAGGTTAGGATAAAAAACAGTGGCATCAAATAGAAGCTGGTTATTTCCGTACAGTTGAATTCACTTTAGGACCGGTTTACAATTATTGCAATGCGCGATTTTCTACATTTGATTTGTGTGAATGAGTGGATAGGTTACGGATGTTCACATAAGGACACTTAAACATCAGATCATGAGCTCTTTTGCATCTATCAAAAGAAGAAAGTGTAAAAATTGCAAGTGTAAACCTGGTCGCGTCTTCAGACAGTAAAACCACGATTTGTGACTAAAAAATTAGCGTCTAGTCGCGTTTTTATATACTTAACTTTATCATAGAACATGGACTCATCTAGCCAATCAACTTAGAACCAATTGGAAGACTAAATCGGAAGTACCTAGGTCCAAGATGATCACGAGCGCCTTCAATAGTTCCCGTGCCAATTTTGTTGGCCACCATGCAAACGGCAGCTAGCGCGCATAATTATCCTGAATTGTCATAGGCAGCCCAGACATGTTTTCGTTCTCGTAGCGCTCGCGCGTGTACACGAGTCTACTTGGTTGGCAAGTTTTTTTACTAAAATATACTACAACGTTTTCTACGACCTGAATATCTTGCAAATTACAAATAAAAATAATATAAAAATTACCTCGGTTTAAACGCCGGTAATTTGACTATATTCTCCCGAAGTTTTAATTAACTTCAAACGTTAATTTTAAGGATGCTAAAAAAGAAAATGTGTATCGATATTTTGACAAAATTTTGTCAAGACTATGCTAGTGGCACCTACCCGGCTGTGGTGTCGTCATTATTTAGATTTGCAAACAAGAAAATTGGCTGTCGTTTTTTCAGTTGGGAATTTCGCACGCAAGAGCCAATCAGTTTTCTGTTTGAAATTCGAAATTATGACGACACCACAGGGTAGGTGCCACTAGCATAATTTTGACAAAATTTTGTCAAAATATCGATACAAATTTGCTTTTTTAGCATCCTTAAAATTAACGTTTGAAGTTAAAACGGGAGAATGTAGTCAAATTACCGGCGTTTAAACCGATATAATTTTTATATTATTTTTATTTGTAATTTGCCGTGGCAAACGTTGTCGTATATTTTAGTAAAAAAACTTGCCAACCTTGTCATAATAATAGACCAAGTAGACTCGTGCACACGCGCGAGCGCCACGAGAACGAAAACATGTCTGGGCTGCCTATGGAATTGTGACGTATTTTAATTACAATTTTTGCAGACTCGCGCTTTGTGAATGTGACCTCTGAAAGTGTAGAAGGATTGGGAGGTGAATCGCCTTTGAAACAGGACTGGTACGTAGTCCAAAACAGTTTTTTCATAGTGCATAATAATTAATAATACATGTTTGCTGAACACACATGCACATCTTACCTGCGACTTGAAACGTTTTTATGACTTGAAACCATCGTTTTCAGCATCATTGCTTATTAATATGTGCTCTTTAATACATCCTGAAATCTTGAATATGTAAATTAGTTTCACCTCCAAAATTGTCTTCAGGACGTTTTTGGTGGTCACACGGGGCTGCCTAACAGAACACTGATCTAAAGAATGTCTAGATACCACGACCTCGGAATTTGTACTAAAATGTACACAAGTAATTTGAATTTGGTTGTCTGAGATTCATTACTTTTGGATCAATTCTATATTGTTTTATTCAAGTTCTTAGCTATTTTAACCAATAATAAGTTGGTTCAATAAATAAATCTTTTTACAGTGCGGTTGTTACTCACTCACCTAAGTTGACTTAACTTTGGGAGTTAATTAATATACGATCATATTGGGTCCACAAAACATACTAAAAGTCAGGAAACGTTAAATCGCCGACGTTTTAAAATTATTTGTCCATATGCGTAGGGAACTCGTCACCAAAATCGAAGACTTGCAGCTGAACAATAAACGTCTCGTGGATCACAACGTTGAATTAAGTTTTCAGGTATAACCGACTAATTTTTCAGCTGTAGCAACAGAGTACATGGTGAGTTGTGAATAAAGCCTCTAAGCTTCGAATTTGGTTTTGCCAGATGGAGAATACGGAAGAAAGCAATAATCAGCTATTAAAGGAAGTCGATAATCTGCGTAGACAAGTTCGCAGGTTGGTACAAGAAGTTCTTGTAATATATGCATAGAGTACTAGAATATTTAACCATATTATTCACAGTCGCCAAATTCTCGCTATTCCAATCCCCCTATAGATGCATGCAGCTTGAAAACCTTTCGAAGGTTTTATTACAACGCACAATCTAGATTTTTTCAGAAACTACGGCAAAGCCTTAATAAACCCTCCAATATTTTTCTGTTCCTGTGATAATTTTACCTTGTACACCGAGTTTGTTAGAAACTGCAGCTGTTGTATTCAAGCGAGCCTTAAACATGCCTTGAAGCGAGTTCTGGAACCCTTCAATATATTATCATGTAATTGTTGCTCTTTGATAATGTGTACAAATTTGTTAGAAACAGCTGTAACTGTTGTATTCGATTTCCAAGTTCCGATTTGGTTCTTAGCGTTTCCACGTCCTCTTGTAGGAAACATGAAATGTTTATCTAGGCCTGTTTTTTGTCTATGATTTTTTCCTGTCAAACGTTCTGAACCCTCAACACCTGTCCATGCTTCATAATTTCCTACCAGGTTGTTCCTCTTCATTTCTTTTAGTTACCAAAAGTTGGACGAAAAGAAGAAAAGCATCGAGAGAGAAAATGAAGAGCTAAGACAAACAGGTAAAAGAATGAAGTTTGGCTTGCTGTTCGATGGTCTACATGCTTGAAAAAATCTCATGAAACAAATATATCTGTGCCTTTCATGGTGTACACTCAGTTAAGCCTGTTCAATAACAGGTCGGGGGTATTCAGGTACGGCGAAGTCGTGCTGAGTTATCTCATGCAGTGGGGCCGAGTGGGCCTATTTTGTAAAAAATGAGATTAGTAGTTGTAATGTTGCAAACGCCATGTTGAAAATTTGTTAAATTATTCAACATTTTTATTCCATTTGCAGTCGCCGACTTACAAGAAACCAGCCACGTTTTTCAGACCAAAGCAAAGCAATTGGTTAGTGCTGAGGGAGTTTTTTGTAACGTTTATAACTGTTTATGAGAACAAGTGAATCGACTGTCTTTTAACTGTTTATGAGAACAAGTCAGCCGATCAAATAGTAGCTACTGCGAACCTGTATTTTTAACATGTAATGATATAGTTTCTCGTGCAGTTACAGATAAACTGCATGGCGCTATCTCATGCAAGGTCAATGAAATGCTTCAAGCTTCATGTTTATTCGTGACTACGCTTGAAACTATAAGAGTAACGAGCGGATAAAAATCTTCAAATTAATACAGATACCAATAATTCTATGTATATATAGGAAAAAGACAGAGTAATGTTGAGCGAGTTTCAAGAAGAGCTACAGTCTAAGGTTAATTTGTTCCCAAATCAGGCATTGATATATTGAAGCAGCTTGGAACAATTAATTTTTTGTAAATATTTATTGCAGCTTTCCGCAGCGCACAGAACATTGGAAAGCTTATCTAAGGATCATCAAAATGTCTGCCTGGCATACAATGAAGAGAAGGTAAAAAATTGAACCACGTTCCATGAACTTGTCATATATTTCTAATTTCTTTGTCATCATTCGTCATCTCCGCCCATCCATGGTACTTTCCTCATAACCTCCGCAATCTTTCCTACCTTCTCTACCATCTATGCTGTTTCTTCATTTTATTTTTCTACACTTTATAGGCCTTTCCACTTAATTGTCTTGTCCACCAACTACACTATAATACTTCTCACAACCTCCAGCATCCATGAAATTCATTTCATAATCTCCAGCATTTAAAGACGTTTTATCATTAATTTTCCGTCATCCAAGCTATCCCATTTATGACTTTATCCGCCATCAATGTTATTCTTTTAAAACCTTTTCCATTCAGTGGAATTTGTGCGATAACCTTTTCCGCAATATGAGCCAACTGCTTTCCCAATATTAACTCCCGTTCCTTAAAACGGCTTCGATATAAGTCCTTTATCGAATTTAAATTTCCTGTTTTTAATTTCTTGTATACTTAGCAAAGGTTGATTGAACTAGAAGAACTACAAGATGTCAAAGATGAAATGGATGAGGTATGTGGGAAAGTTGGACGGAAGCGAATTCAGCGGAAAATAGAAAATCCATTTCAAGTTTTTCGGTGCGAATATCTTACTCTCTCTCTCCTATATATTTCTTCAATGTTTTCAATATTTGCCCGACTGTTTGCGTTAATTCCTAATTGTTTCATTTTTTTTCCACAAATTGCATTTCTTGTAGAGATGTAGTAATTTATATTGACAAATAAATATCCACATGAATTTTCTTAAATTGTGCCTGTCAAAGAAATAAAAACTTTGTCACATGTTGTACTATTTTTAGGAATCCTTTGCCGGTAATACAAAGTTTACGAATACCATAATATTCTCATATTTAAGGAGTCTACAGGAACGCAAGAATACTTGACAAGTATCATATCCAATCTGACAACTCAAAAAGAGGTAGCTAACATGCAATCGGCGTATCTTTCTTCACCTAGAGGATATTTTGTAATTTAAGCATAGTTTCAATATCGCCTTCTGAGTCGTGCATGGTAAGCAGACGCCGACTACAAAGTGGTCGAGCAACGTTACGAAGGCTTTCATAACATGCATGAATTTTCATTAAGTGCATTAAAAAATTATAATTGCTTTCGAACTTTATATAAATAGTAGAATTTACTTGATGACTTTCCTCACAGACCCTACAATTAGAGCGCAACAAGATGGAAGCAGAATTGTATCAAGTTCGGGAGGATCTGAATCGTTTGATGGTCCGGAACGCCTCGACATTTTCCTCAACGGAAAGGAACAAACTGATGCGACACACAGCGAAGTTCGGCACAACTGGCAGCACTCTGCAGCAGGAACTCCAAGAAATTGCTGTAAGTTTATCATAAGACATAGTTTAGAAAATATTACAAGTGTTGAAGAATGAGGAAGCGGAAGAATAGCTTGAAGCGTCTCGAACTATAACCAGAGATGCTTACCAATGTTTCAACTATTAGTTCAAATCTAAAAACTTCTCGCCAAAGTATTTTTACAAAACTCTAATTCAGTTGAAGAAATACATGGTGTGCCTTTAAACATAGGCGAGTGTACTTGAACTTAGGTCTTCAAAGTATTCATTACTTCCTGGGGATTCGAATTATAATAAATTATATAATAAATTTGCTCAATTTTGTCTAGATTGACGACTGCTTGCCTTCACCAATAGTTGGTTACTCGCCATCGTCGTATCAGAATTCCTCATATGAAAACGACGTGTTTGATAGTCCAAAGTCACTCACATCACCTCTTTCATTGGTATCTCTCAATTCATCCAGCAACTCACCACTATCGAAATCCAATGAGTATTTTGCCGCCGTTTCACAAGTGGTATGTTTTGAGCCGAATATGCATGATGCTTGTATAATTGTTAAATTAGCTACCGCAATATTTCTTTATTGTTAGGCCGCAGATTTCCGCGAGAAAAAAGAGAAAGCTTTGCAAACAATCTCGGAGTTGGTCAGTTTGGAGAAGACTCGAGAAAATAGAGAAATCAGAGAAGTATGATAAGACTTGACGTATATGTATGCAACTTGCATATATATTTGCACGGGTTACTGTTTTCACGCACAGTTCATAGAACACATGGTTTGGACACGGCCTTCAACCAAAATCGTAGCTGATTGGTCAATTCTAGTTTTTCTTGGCAACGAGGTAGCAACAGAACCAGCAATCAATTCATTTTGCGACGTTTTTGAACATTTTCTGCGATTTTTAATTTTGGTGAACAGTAAATTGTTTTATTTGCGTACTTTTAGCTTAGTCAAGGACAAAAAAGGATACCACTTTAATTAAAGGATACTATACTATAATTTAAATAACTTTTTGGTTTCACAATCTTTTCTGCAAAAAACATCGGAGATATTTAACAGTTATTCTGCGAACTCGAGTCGTATATGAGCTGATAGCCGACGAGGCGCGCGTTGCGCCGAGTTGGCTATCGGCCATATACGACGAGATTGAGCGAAATAACTGTTTTATTATGTACACAAACTTTCTCGCCCTTTCGGTGCATTTTGGTGTGCTATTATCAACTAAAGCTTGGATTTCCATTTCACTCAACTCCCCAAATCTTTCAGCCATTTTGTTTACTTTCTCTACTAGACAGATATGAGCCAATATCTGTCTAGTAGCCAACCAATGAAATTGCAGCATACCTCATATCTGGCGCTTGTGTACATAATAAAACACTTTGTTCTGGCTGCAATAAAAAATTCCGCTAACAAGTAGAAAACATCGAAGAAAATGCTCAAAAGCGACTTTTTAACAACATGACAACGATAAATAATACTCAATTTTCATTGCTGGTTCCGTTGCTACTTGCCAGGGAAAACTAGAATTGACCAGTCAGTTGCGATTTTGGTAGAAAGCCATATAAAGATATTATATTAACTATCTATGTCGGTGCACGACAAAAATATAATCGGCACGTGCATGCTAATCCAGATTGCCGTTTCTTTGCTTAAATTTCAGAGCCTTCAGAGAGATTTAGAAAAGGAAATGGAATTTTTTGCTGAAAAAATTTGGCTTCTGTCATTAGCAAGAAAGGCGTCAGAGAAAAGGTAAGTTTTGTGAAATCGAATTAGCGCAATTATAAAATGCGCTAGTATTATCATTTTAAAGCTCTTATATAAGTTATATTTTAGTCATACCTATATATAGTGATGATGTTTCTGTAGCGAGTGCATGTATCTTTTCCAGGGTATCTAAACTATTGGCGTTGATCGAGTCACTGAAAGGTAAATGTTACTTGTTACCACTAGCATAATGTACGGAACTAATTCAGACTCAAATTCTGAATAAGAGTTTAGTTTATTCCCCGATTTTCTTTTTTGAAGTAGCTAATAGCTATATATACGTCATCATACACTTGCATGACTCTTTGACAAAGGCAGTTTAAAAGAGCGAAAATAGGAGCTGCAGAAATCATAAAACTTACACCAAACATAGTATAGACCAAGTTACTAGCTATATATATTGAAGTATTTGACTCACTGTTTAATTTTTCTAAAGAGATAGGTCACAAATACAGCCCTTGTCAACAATTGTGTGTTTGTATGTAAAAGGCTGGAAAATCGTTTTTTCTATAGTTTTCAAGATATACAAAGTTAAGAAACAGTCTGTTTAACAAGTTTGCCAAATTCCCACCCGGCTGTAATATAAAAACGGCATAGCCTACGAACGGTCAAGAAAATATTTTAAATCACATGTTGTTTTGAACATAGAACAAATAAGTTTTTCCATCGTAAAGATTTTTAGAGATATAGCTATATACCTACGCATTCCCTTCCTATAGATGAAAATCATTGTTTACAAGACGAACGAGATAAAGCTCTTCAAAAGATTGGAAATCTCTCTCTAGGAAATGAAGATATGGAAACAAAGTAAGCCATAAAGATTAGAAACCCTAAAATTATACACCTCGAAAATTGTTCATAGCTGCTGACCGACTAAAACCACTAGCTAATATGTGAACGCTTATCTTGCTTCTTTGGCTCACTCGCGAGGAGACTATCACACTGTTATTTCTCAGGCCCATTCTCAGGTAATTCGATTCAAGTTCTCCCTCATTATTTTTTCCGGCACAGGATTGAAGAATTAGCGTCTGAATTGGAAACCAGTTTGGAAAATACGAAACATTTGCAGAAGCAATGTACCGATTTGAAAAATAAGGTACCTGATTCTGTCTTCTATTAATTTTTATATGTCTTTTGCCAACTAAATTCGAAGCAATCGTATGGAATTTTTTTCGTTTAGCTCATGGATAAAGAAACAGAATTACAGCGTATCAAGTAAGAATTCAGTTACATTGTACTATAAATCTTTTGCCGTGAATTGTTTTGTTTTCGTAATGTATACATAATTACATCCATGCATGCATGTTTTCTTGTTTTCTTGTTCTGTTTTTTAATTTTTACTAATATATGAGGCTTCTGCAGGTTATACTGACAAAGCTATAGACTATAGGGTACAGCGTATTTGATTATTCATTTAAAAAAAATTATTTTCCCCATATCGTAAAACCATTTAGCTATACTTTCCTCATATTTCTGACTGGCAACAGTACGCCTTACCTTTTTCCGGTAAATATTCGACCTTACCAAAGTCGAATACACCACATTCCAATGTTACTGATTTGACCTTCACTACTTTTTTATCTTGTCAGTCTGTTTTATACTTTTCGTAGACCGTATAGACGGTATAGTTAAACTGGTCGAGTATAAAATACATCGGTATCTTTACCATAAAGAGATTAGAAGGAAAGCAAGTATTATTTGTTGCTAATTTCATATTTAATTATCTGGTTTCCTAAAATTTTAACGGATGCATTTCCATCAGCCTGGATCCGCCCCTGATATGTTTAGTTGTTGTTTTTTTTCTTTACAATCGCATATTTTCCTAGCATTTGCTTTTGTTGTTTTTTTTTGTTTCATTTATTGTCATCGTTGGGCTTATTTTAATATTAATCCAAACAGAACACACGAACTTACGCACAATTTTAACATATAAACTTTCCTCTGCCAAAAGTCTAATCGCTAGAATGTTATAATACAACGTAAATAAACGTTCGACTTCTTATACTAATTTTAGAAAAGAAGCGCTGTCATCATCACCTGAGGTATCTTTATGTGTCACTAAATCCATCGACGAAATGATAAAATATATAACGTAGTTTAAAAACCAAAGTCATGTTATTGAAAGAATATGTCAAACATTTCTAGGACGCAGGCGGCGAATTTGCATCAAAATATCATGAGTTGGAGAGGTATGTTCCATTCCTTATCATGCATGTAATAATATGCTACACACGTAAAGAATAATCGCCCATCTGCATACTTAAAGAGCTGTCAAAGTTTTGTCTTTATTCCTTGTCCTAAGCAGCCGGCTATATCCCACAACAAAATTGGTCGATCTTGAAACTTGTTTGGTTGATCTTGAAACTTGTTTTGTTGATCTTGAAAAATAGATATTTCTGCGGTCTTGTGTTGTCACCATGAAACTTCCATCATATGACAGGGGCGTTCCAGACTTGGCATGGGGTCCAAAGCAGCCCTGTACCAAATGTGACGAATGCTGCGCTTGTTCTAAACTTTTCCCAACATCTTATACGCAGTTTAAATGATTTAGACATGTAACAACCTGTGTCCCTACTTTCAACTTTTCATATTTTATATAACAATACAAGAATTTTTCTATGATTACGTACGAAAACAATTGTAACATTGAAGAACGATTGTTTCAGTGCGAAGACGATCCCAGCATTGATTTACTCCACTTACTTCCGTACATTAAATTGAATTGCTATATACCTAGTGTCAAAATTGTTTTTTTGTTTTTTTATTGGACAAGACATCCACGCGTGGAGGGCTTCAAATCTCCATGATTAAGCGTGATCAACACGTGCGGGCATCAAATTTCATAATTTTCCCTAGGGCAAGTTATGAAATTTGATGCTCGTTGCTATGCTTTCCCTAGCATGACGACCATGGAAATCACAGGAGAGTTTTCGAATTTAACTTTATATTATTTCTTATTCTGAACTATATAACTTTGTTTCATATTCTAATCTATACATGTCTAGGAATTGGCTCTTCTTTGCGCTCCGGTTTATTTTCATTTTGGCACTAGATATAACAACAATTAAATCACTTATTTACCGACACCTCGGGAAAACTGTGTGTTTTGAATTTAAGCTCTAGCTTGAATTTAACATGTAAAAATTAACACTTATTTACTGACGCCGAGGGAACAGTGTGTTTTGTTGACCCGAGACCGCCGTTCCGCCTCGGGAAACAACGAGCACTCGAGGGTCGACAAAACACACTGTTTCCCTCGGCGTCAGTAAATAAGTGTTAATTGTTACATGATAAATTCAAGCCCAGCCCGGTGTTCGCTAAAAGGTAAATTAAGACCCTTAATAGGTAAATAAGCCACTTTCAAGACCTTAAACTTCGCAAATCCGTTGATGTTTGATGGAGTTGTTGATATACAGTGTTATTTTATCTGACTACACTAGATTTTTATGCATCTGATTTTATGCATAGATTTTGATATTACTTTTCTAGAAAGCACAAAGAACTTGAAGAAGAACACAGGAAGGCTTTAGGTGTATTCTTTGTATTAGTTAGGATCTGGTTTTGAATTTCAATTTAATGTAATTACTTATAAGATACGTCCCTGGTAAAAGCTTTATCAATTAGCCCGAATATAAATGCAACCTTGTGTTTATATTTCATCAGCCAAATTATCTAAGGTCGAATTGGAGCTAGAAAAAACTGCCATGGACTTAGCTGTTGAAAATAAAAGATCACGAAACCTTCAGGTACAGTATACGTAGGTCTATTCTTCAACTGTTATTCTGTTGGACAAGTCACGAAAGGATTCAGCATAATCTGGAATAAATAGATAGTTTATAGATTAGTCATGTCTTTCAGAACAATTCTATCCCCCGATGGATTGCGGTCTCTGGTTTCGAGATTGTATTTTGAACTGTAATAGACTAGACTAGACGACGATTTAGTTGTCAATGTTCTTCAGGAGTCGTTATCGTTGTCAGTATCGAAACATGAACAGGAACTACAGGACATTATGGAAACAATCCCATCGGAAGCTTGTGACAATTCGGTGAGTTTCGAGACCATGGCATGATAACGCTAAATATTTAAATTTGCCTCCCAATTTCCCAGCTTTTGTCATGAATCTGCCACTTCTGTTCAGCATTCAAGAACAAAGTCTTCAGCGATAACAGGATATCAAGTCAGGAATAAACTTCGAGCATTCTTGGTTTCCCGGTGTTTGGTAGGGGAAGACTGCTCTTGTGTATATATTTAAATTCAGATGTTAAATAATTTTGTAAAAACACGAGTTCGAATTCTTGAAGTTACCTAACAATCCGCGATGAACTCTGTGTGTCGTTATATGAATGAATACATGCAAAAGCAGTTTACTTTCTTATTCCATACAAAAAAAAGTAAAGACCATGGGTGTAAAGTTTTTTTTTTTTATTATTGACCTAGGAACAGCGTGACACTCTTTAACTTTTCAACAAAACGTAGTTATGCAACAGCAAAAATCGGCCACGAAGGGTCTCGTCAGAAGGGCTGGTTATTATAAACAAAATAGAATTGAGCTCATGTTTTGTATGAGAGCCAAACAGGTCATTAAAAAACCATCAGCAAAAATGGGGGATCGAACATATTAAGGAGGAGGACTTTTGTTTTCTTTTCTTAGACTATACGAGATTCACCCGATGGTAAGCCGAATAATCGTAAAGGTGATGTTCCACTGGGTGTTAGCACTCCAATTGATGGGAACAGCTTTGATTCTAACTGCATTTCTAATCGACAAAAATCATTCGACACACCCTTCCCTAATAAAGAAGTGGAGAATTGCGATTCAACAGGTGAGTTAACAATGACGTATAAGGTGATATTGGTATAGGAAAACGTTCGGTCGTTTATCTTTTCAGATTACTTGGGAACCACGTTCTTTTTGCCCAAGCTTGTTGATGAAGAGGGAAGAAAAAAACACTTAAAATATCAAAATATCTTATTATAGAGATGTGCGACAAATCGCCGGGCAGTTTGGGTTCCTCGAGCAATCAATGTGACGATGGTTCAGCCTTATCGAGCATATCTCCAAATCTGATCCGACCGTTTGACGTGCAAAATGATCGCTGGATATCGCCCAATCTGATTGAACCATTTGAAGGTGATTCAGCGAAAAACAAAACCTTCACCAAGGTAGTGCAAATTAAGACCAATTGTTAGTGTTATTTATATTCTATGGATGTGAAAATTCTTCAAGTTTTAAAATTTAAGATCTGGAAATGTGACATGCATCGTACAGTACGAGCTGATTTTGTTTTAGCCTTTGAACTACTAAGTAAGATAGAGGTCGCCAAACTGACCACACATGACCGTAATCTCGTATAGTTTAATCGGCCGCCATTTTTGATTCCAGTCGAATTGGGCACCATTGCTAGTCCTTTAATTTTCTACGGTTTAAAAATTATTTTAGTATACAGTGTGTATCAATTGAATCAGACTATAAATAAACATTTATTGTCCATGAATTGTATTATACCCAGGAGACAACAACTACTAAGGTGCAAAAAAAGTAGACCGGGATACTTTGGCCTATCTGCATTAACGAACTACGAGCTTTTGAACTACTCACTACTTGGAAATAAAGTACAAACATTAGAAAGCTTTGTCAATTTGTTACTTCAAATTCAGATAATAATTTTCTTACCTTCCAAGCCTGATCACAGCACAGAACTACGTGAATGGGATAAATATCGGGAAACGTGCGGAAGAGACAAGGAAGCACTCGGAAATCCTCACGACTTTACCGAGACCAAAAACGCGACTTGTATCTCGCCAGGTAGCAGCGATGACTGCGCCAAGAACCTCCTCACTGATTTTTATGCAGAAGAGACGCGCAACACGAATCACAGTTCTTGTTGTACTTGTTCCGGCGGGCTTTCTGATGTTCACCCATTCGACGGTGATTCAGCACCAACCTCTCCCACCATTCCATCGAGATTTCGTAAGATAAGCAATATAACTCCTCCTTGTGGACTCCGAAAAAGTGTTGCAGGTGAGCTTTTACCACTCTATAAATTGATATGAATCTCATCGTCAAAGGTGATTTATATACTGAGCGAAGGCGTGTAGAAAAAAGACTCACAACAAATTAAAAGTCACTTTAAACCTTTATAAACGACTCCATGTTGGCATACGCGTTATTCTCTGCATGAGTTTTTGATAAGATAAATAAAGGTAGTTTAAAAGACTTTTAATTCTTGGGTGCGTCTTTTAAACAAAGTCAAAAATGGCCGGCGGATGGCCGAAAAATTGGCCGAAATTTTGTTACAAAAGGTTACCTTGAGTAAGCTCTGTATTGGGTGTCAAAATAAGTGGATCGTCGTTGACACTATACTCAATTTGTGGGCTCAGCAGGGCTGGATAGGTATCTGTACCTAATATTATCCACGCCAAGGCTACCAATATACAAAGGTACTGGCTTATATTTTCTGTATGTTTTCTGAGAATTTCACAATTAAACATTGCATTTTTATTAAAAATAAATTCCTCTACATCAATCGCTTAATGAAAAAAAGTAAGTATTTTTCTACTCATAATTCCGGCAGTTAAAGAGCCAATTTGGGAATTTGTCAAAAAAACTACATTGCTGTTTCATATCGATTAGTTAAAATAATGTGATAAAATATTGTTTTATGATATATCTCGTCTAATAATATGTTTCAAAATTCGTATATCTCTTATAAAAGGAAGTCAACCAGTGCCTGCCTCGAGTAACGAGAAGGATCGGAACTCTCCATGCGGACAGAATCTCACAACAAACTCAGAAAATACGAATGAGGACAAGCTGGTGTTTACATTCGATGGTCCTCCGGCCGAAATTTATACAAATCGAAATGAAAACTCCAGAACTCGGAGTAGATTGACGAATTCGTCCAGGGAAGGTGATCGATTATCGGACATCGATAGTGATTACAAATCTTCACCGGTTCAAGCGAATAGTTATATTCTGGGCGTGTCACTAAATTCTAGGTAAGAGAAATAAATCGCAAAGAAATCATACTTATCAAAAACGTAATTTCATACTTATATTAATAAATATTCGTAAAAAAACTTAATCCTACTGCCTCTCTTCAAAGTGTTGCGAATGTATATTGGGAATATACAGACATTATTCCGTTGAAGAAACAAGTAGTAATGCAACGATATTTAGTTCACTAAGCATTCTTCTTTATTGAATACACCGCTTTTTATTTCCAGTCTTCCATCGGATGAGAAAGAATTAGAGGTATGCATCTCTGGAACATTGCTTCCACTTTACTATTTTTTTCTTTTAGGAGAGTAATGTTAAAAAGTAACCTTCGTTCATTAGTAAACGTTTACTGTATATGTAGACTATAGCTTATTCAGATGTACACTATAGCTTAGTATGATCTTGCTTAAAGAAGATGTAGAAGGTTGAATCCTGTAATTGCTTTAAATTTACAGAAATTGTTCAAGAGCGTCTGTCTCGCATTTCGTACTGACAAGGACAGTTTGCCACAAAGATTGGAATACCAGGTAAATACGCGATGATTTGGATTGTAGCCTTCGCTTCAACGTGAAGCCTTCACGTCGACATTTTGTCCACGAATTCCAATAGACCTTTCTCATAATGACGTCAAACGCGGAAAGTATGATGTTACACGAAATTTGATTGGCTCCATAAAACTATCGATCCAATTAAACTTCGTGTAAGATCAGTCTGTTCGCGTTTGACGTCATTATGAAAAAGGTCATTCGATCCGATCTATTCATTCGGTTACTTTCATGAAAATAAATGTAAAGCTGGATGAAGCTACAATCTTGGCCAAAAGTTAATAGGACGGCGCACGCTATCGCGATATCACAACTACTGTGACCACCTACGCTCGCATTTTCGCCGAATTCCCCCCTCCCCCTTTTCAATGTTGGTCCCTAATTAATATGTTAATTGTTGTAATGTCGTAAAAACGAAAGTGCATTAGAATTCAACATTGAATGAGAGGAGGGGGGGAGAACACATTTTTAGAGAATTTTAGACGCGCATGGGCTATAGAGAGTATTATTTCCAAGTTAGAGAACTAGCTTTAAACTACATAGTGTAAACGTACTACCAAATAATCAGGTTAACCTGTTCAAACTAACTACTTTGCGATAAGTCTATCAGATTAACCAATAACAACCCCCCTCCTTAACTAACTAACTAGCTAACTTGCTAACTAACTAACTAACTAACTAACTAACTAGTAGGCTTGGATTTCCCGACAAAGGCCTGACCGAAGTCCGTTTAAACTGAAAGAATCAGGTTGAAACCAGCTCGGTTAAAGCCATGCAGGCCTAGGCCCGGAGTGTAAACACGGCTTATGATGTTTACAGTCTAAGACTAAATAAACAGAGTGTATCAGACAATGTTAGACCTTTCCAAAAAAGCCAATTCTAGGTATTAGGCGTAACTGAACACACAAAAGCGTCGAAACGAATGCATGTAATGTTCGCGACTCAGGGGATTCATTTTATTCATTCTTTGATCTGCTCAACTCATTAGTTCAGCATGCACAATTTATTTCCATTGTATATATCCTTTGCGTCAGTGGATTCAGACTAAATTGCTATCATACTTTTTTTCACTGTCTTGGACTTTTAATTGATATTGTTACGCTGGTGGGTTTACAGTGTATGTGGCCATAAAAGACACCAGAACCATGGATATATTACCCCAAAAGGGTTCGTTACTTCACCACCATCACTCGAAAGACACATTGAGCATACTGCGAAACCTCGTTATCAGAAACCCCAAGTCATAGCGTTACTCATGCAAGCGTAGATAACCCCTAGCTGAGGTACCTGCATGCTGTGATGGAGACTGCCTCACTTGGTTATACTGACTCAACTTAGCTCATAATGATGTGTTATGAAGCTGGGCGCTCCACTTGTCTTAGAACCCTTTCTGTCTATATTTCACATGTACTTTATAATTTAAATAAATTGGGACGTTTGAACGTTCGCTGAACGTTCGCTGAACGTTCGCCTGCGCGTACGTACTCCGATCGATGTAGATCGAGCCAGTCAGACACCACAATCCACCTTTTAAGCATCTCCAATATTTTTAGGAACGAGCTCGTAATGGAGCCGAGGACAATATTATGAAAACTCTGAATACTTTGTCAAACGTTATAAAGGTAACTCTGAATTTATTACGGTTTAAGTTAGTTCGCGGGATGGGGGGAGGGTCTTGTAAGGTATCAGGAAACATTTCATTACCGTAATTACTCGAATAAACGCCTCCCTCTAATAAACGCCGCCCTCGAATTAACGCCGCAGAGACAAGCAAAAATATCAATAAACGCCGCCCTTAAATAAACGCTGCAACCTTTTCGTCATTGCGCGTTTATTCGAAGCATTTATTTATAACCACAGTTCAATTTTCATATATAATTATATAAATAGAAAAGACATAACTTTTATACTTAGTTTTTTTGGGGATTAATTGTATTGGTTAAATTGGCGTTTAAACGAATAAACGCCGCATCTTAATTGCTAAATATTTAATAAACGCCGCGGCGTTTATTCGAATAATTACGGTATTTGTGACGCACGGGTATCTGCAACAGCAAGTTTCTTACTTTAATTATTGAAGAATTATTACCTAGTTCTAATTCCAACCATAGACCTTTGAAGAGAATGCAAAAAGGGATACAAACAAAAAGGTAAGACTTTTGGCTCCAAGGGGTGTTTATTATCACATACTAATCTAGACATTAATATGTCGGATGATGTTTGGTAGTACTTTTTGCATTTGAAATTGTTGTCGAGTTTGTAAAGCAGCTAGGACTGTCGTCCCCAGAACCATAGCTATAGATTTCTTTTGAAAGATGTTATTCTAACAGTATGCAAACATGGGTTTATGAGTACATCCCCCTTCTTATTATACACAGCCCAGCTCCTCCAACGTTGTTAGACCAACGTTCAGATTTTTTCACTGAAGAAGGAACCTGCGTGTAATTCCCTTCATAGAACATCAAGGATATATTAAGTTCACTGCACCATCAAGTTGGGGCTCTAAAGGACTGTTCACGGCGTGTCTCGTCACAGTCACATCAATATGGAAGTTACCAACAGGTACATGCATGTATTTGTCTCTGATGCATGGAGAATTCGAAGGGGAAAATTAAGAGAATATCCCAAACTATGGGCTTAACAACTATTATAGCCACATATGTTCCAGCTGGTTTCCCTTTGTGCAGGAGTAGTTCACCATTATGTTACGCTGATTGTACCACGCTGGCATTGAAATGTTTGTGTGGTGTCAATCTGTTTGTTTTTCAGATTTTGTACAATCACTGGGCATGTCAATGTTGCAAGAAAACAATTGATCTAAATTGGAGATTCCCAGAGTTCTAAAGTGTTTCAATTATTATTAGGAAGCCCGGATGATGTCTGGTATTGATGTACTCATAAATTATGGTGAAAGGCTTTCACTTCGTCTTGAGACGTTAGCAGATACTATAGCCGTTCAAGAGTGAGTAATGCTTGATTTACACTCCAATTTTTTATGTAGTTACAGTCGCCATTTTGCACACGTATTTTCAAGACGTTAACAATTTAACTTCTTTGTGTATTTTAGATTACAGAACCAAACTCATCATCGAGAAGGTACCTCACCATGCATTGTTTATGTAGTTTCCACTTTCCATATAATCAATGTAGCACATCATAGCACCTGCATACAGACACACATTCATGTTCACATATATAATTCATGATCTTTGAAGAAACCTGTGGTTTATCTTTTTTGTAATTCATCTATCCATCAACCAACTTCCCTATATTTCAATGAATTTTTTTCCTAGAGTCCAACGAGGATGCACGATCAAAAGCCGTAAGATATTTCGCTTACTTGGATTCGTTTGTTGTTTGTACTGGTCTTCTCCGAAGTTGGGCCGGTATAAAAAATTGTGTATAACCATACTCCGACATTTTGGACATGCTTCTATGTTATCATTTAAATGATTTTAAACTTTTACGTGCTTCTAGCGTAAAATACTTCCCCAAATGCTAAACGGATTGGTGAAGATTTCACTCAATGGTATCATTTAAATGATTTTAAACTTTTACGTGCTTCTAGCGTAAAATACTTCCCCAAAAGCTAAACGGATTGGTGAAGATTTGACTCACCACGAAAGTATAGATACATCATAGACAATAAACTTTTACGTGCGTATACGTACGTACAAAAAACGCGACACAGGCCTTAATCACAGGCCTTAATCACAGGCCTTAATCACAGCCCTTAAATGCATTCAATGCCTAGGTCGAGCCTGCCGCACATGCATGAGAGCCATCAGCTGAGCTAATGACCTCGCGAGGCAGTTAGCTCAGCCCGAAAACCACCCGCACACGTGAGAGACTTACCTCTCGAGGCGAATTCCTCACGAAAAACTATCCGCACACGAGAGTAATTTGCTGAGCTAACAGCCGCGCGTGGTCTTTATCTCAGCTAATAGTGAGTTTGGGAACTGCAACGTCCTTAGCAACAATAGGGAGCTTTAGCAGTGACTACGAGTACGAGATTCGTCATTTTCGCGCGTTGTTTGCTTACGCCATCAGCCAAAACTCGTAGTCGTTGGGCTTTTGAGTACGAGTTTTTTGAAAGATTTCGTACTCAAAAGCCCAACGACTACGAGTTTTGGCTGATGGCGTAAGCAAACAACGCGCAAGAATGCGAATCTCGTACTCGTAGTCGTACTCGTAGTCACTGCTAAAGCTCCCTACTCGCATTTATTCCCCCCCCCGCCGACGATTTTCTGAGCTCGTATTTCTTTTGCGTATTTAATTTCGATGCTGTAGCTAATTGCGCACAAATACAATTTTTAGGAGACAAGTGATTTAACGCGCCGTGGTAGCTCCTTCTACAATTTTGTTTCTTCGATTCGAGTGAATGACAGTTTCCGACTTTTTGGTAGCAGCCGTGATAGCGAGGTTAGAGAAACATACGAACAGGAATTGAATGCAGCGCCAAAATTAGAGAAGCAAACAGCTGCGGCTTATGGCGATACCATCGACGATGCAGCGGAAAGAGAGAATAAGGAAAAACTCGTTTCAAGAAGGCCAACGTCTATGGCTAAACAAAGGTCATTTTAACTTTTGTATTAACAGTATTTTATAGAATCATGCATGGTGCACATGGAAGAAACAATTTAAAGCCGGTTTTCCACTAGCGATATTCTTCGCGCGAAGCGACTTTATTCCTTTGTATTTGAGCAATTTGTTCCAGATGGTTGCAGTTGAGAGATCTGAAGCAAAAGTAAAATGTCGCTTCGCGCGAAAAATATCGCTAGTGGAAAACCGGCTTTAGGGTGTATATTTATATATCTCGAGGTGATTACAAGCCCATATTCATGAGCCGAAGGCGAATACTGAATTAAATCAACAATTATTCACCGAAGGCAAGGTGATTATCGGGGATTAGTATGTTTGCACAAGTGAATAGAACAAGTCCTATACATATTCACCTGAAGGTGAATATATAACAGCATATATGATACGTCAAATTTGACCAATCAGAATGTAGGATTTGTTATATTCACTTGTGCAAAAATACTAAAGCCATATTTTCGGGTTTAATAATCAATCACCGAAAAACAATCACTCCCCTACGCCTGGACCAGGGCCGTAACTAGAACGATAATTGGGGGGGTGTTTATTCATTTATTCAGTTATGCCCGACGGATTTCTTTTGTAAGTGCAATAGCTCACAATGGAAATCCGTCGGGCAGCACTGAATATATGAATAAACACCCCCCCAATTATCGTTCTAGTTACGGCCCTGGCCTGGACCACGTCTCTGCGTTGAACACCGTGGTATGTGCTACTAGAAATACATTGCATGCAAAGTCCCCTCGCCTAAAGCAATAAACATATATTTCCATCACTGAAGTGAAATGCTATAATATTCGTTTCTGCTGAATGATCGAAGTCGTAAAGTAAAATCCGATATCTTGGTACAATTACAAAGTCGACTCTCGAGCTATCAAATTCGACTATAATCAAATTAATAAATTGTGCTACGAATAGTTTTAAATACTTCAATTTTTAGCGAAATTTCAATTACTTTTTAAACAGATTCACCTTTAAAAATAAATACTTTCCAAATCAAAATCATTTCAACGAAATTGACGAATAAATTCAAAACTTACAAAATACTTGCATGCTTTAAAATACAAAATCTACCCATTTACCTGTTCAACAGCACTTCAAAAATGCCTCAAAATCGTAGTTTTTTTTACCATCCATTTGAATGAAAGTTTTTCTATCCGAAGGCATCTTTTACATTATATTTTAATCAATTTTACGAGTCAATTTTTCGTGTATTTTTAAGACCATCCAAATTAAAAATATTGTAAAAAATGCAATAAAAGAAGGAAAAAGTTCAATTTAATTCAACGAAAACAGCGCTCTTAATATAAAAAGGTCCCTTTGAGTCAAAATACCGGTTTCAATTGAAATGGATATGGCTAATCTTTGCTAGGATCGTAATTTGTCATCGACACGTCTCCCGAAACAGAAATATACTCCGCTGCTGCCCAAATTACAAAAATAAAAGCATATTGAGAGTGTCACCTCATTTTTTTGAGGCTGTCACCCCCCTGCCAATGTGTAAAATCAGCCCATTTTTAGTATTGGCAGGGGGGTGACTACCTCAAAAAATGCACTTGCTAAGTGACGAATCATGACGAATCACACTTACGAAAAAAGTACAGGAGTTCTACTTCTGATAGGTATTCTGTGACGATGCCCTTGAGGATAGTTAACTTTAACTAGATTTTAACTACAGTTAACGCTAACTACGTTTTTATACAACTGGCTTAACTACGTGATTAAAGTTAACTACGTTTTAACTACAGTTGGGTGGTCAAAAAGTAGTTAAAACGTAGTTAAGAGTTTTATACAACCGGCCCCTGGAAAACTCTCAAATACATTTAACTTCGGGACGTATATGGGCATTTAATTCTTTGGACTTTGATTTATAACATAGTACGAAAGTCCTTTTAATTTTGCTGTATGCATCATTCCCTCCACGATTTGGAGAAGGGAAGGGGTATAGGTAGTTTGTATCTGGATATATAAAACATTCTATGGGAGGAAAAAAGTTTTTTGACCGTTAAGTTGATTTATGCTTTAAATAACGTTCCTTTCAATCATAAATTATTAAACGCATGTTTTAGCCGTCGTACATCTTATCATTGAGATCGAAGTAGGCTCGCTTTTGGAATGTGAAATTCTGCACAGTTGTTTGAAGACTGCAGCAAGACCTATGTCTAAAAAGAACTCATAACTGTTTTATGTTATTATAGATCGTGTTTCGGTCGTTGTCTCTGCTGTTCTATCAAGTTAACTGCTTTCGCTTTCCTATTCATGATGTTGTTTTACGTCCTCGTGCAATACAGCGTGTTCGATCGATATTTCATCATGAACAAGCTTCGCGATTTTGTAAAGAACCAAAGATTCGAGACTCTTTATTACGAGCACGAACCAGCCGTTTGACTTCGACAGGAATGTCAGTATTCTTATTTAACATCGTTTTAAATAATTTTGAATATAGTAGAAAAAGTGTACATATATTAATTGATTTTTAAAAAATGTAATCCGTAATGTTTACCCAGACTTTTTATTTTTCAAGCGTTTGCTTTTCAAATGACGTCATTTTGCCTTCGGTAAAATTTTTGTGCGACCGTAAGCACATTTGTTCGACGATGGATCCGATCGATCGATCGGACCGTCTGACAATTCCACTAGCTTCCACTGAGGCATAGCCTCTCTACCCACATAGCCTCTCTACCCACCTATTTATTTTTCAACCGTTTACTTCTCAAATGACGTCATTTTGCCATCGGTAAAATTTTTATCCGACCGTAAGCACATTTGTCCCATGGATTGACAGAAGTCTTAAGCATAACACTGTCCCTTGGATAAATTCCAACATCAAAAATCGGATCTAGAGACGTTCATAAAAAGAGAGCAAAAAAATATAATTCTCAGGTTTACTGGAATATATATAAATCCGAGAGAAATAAAGTCAACTCGGAACTAGAAATGGCCAAAACAGTCTATTATCAAAAAAACCTGGTCACTGATAAATAACTTATTAGGCGAAGGTAGAAGATCATTTAATATTGCAGAAATCAACATTAATGGCAACATATATATAATTACCGCCAACAAATGGTTAGGGTAAAACGCGGATACGGACGGACGGACGAATAACTTACTTTTCAATAAAACAGATTTTAAACGTCACATCCGCGTCTTACCCAATCGGGTAATTATTATTATTATTTATTATTTAAAAGTATTTAGACACGGTAGGCTTTCAATTACGTGATTTTCAAAGGGCGGTGTGTTTAAACGTATCTAGTAATATCTAATACAATACATTACAAACAGACGATTACAACAGATTAATGTAACTATTAAGTGAATTAAGGAAACTATATAAGGACAGGAGCTCAGTCGCTTGAAGGATTTAGGAAGGTAAGCTATTCCATGCAATCGCCCCGCGGTAGGAGAAGCTTCTTCTCAGAAAATCCGTTTTTGGCTCAGGAAGACTGAATTTTAAGTTGTTACTGCGTAATGGATAATTAGAATTATTATGCATTACTAATGCAATCTCGATTGTGATTGGCTAAAAACCTACAATTAATTCTCAATGTCTTGCCACCTACACGACATTGAAAATTATCCGTAGGTGACGTAATTTATTGCCGCTAGTTTGTTGTCAATAATGGCGCAGGCTTCCTCTCTAAGAAGGAAATACATAATAAAACAATTATTGAATTCGGTTTTCGCATGATATCGAGAATTATCAAGCCTCAGTTTGCGTTATCCGCCTAATCCGGCGAATAATCCGGCGAATAATGCAAACTTCGGCTTGATAATTCTCGATATCACACTCAACCTCATCCAATAATTGTTAATTGTTGCATTTGCTAAACATCCTTATTATGTAATTAGGTGCCAGGTTATTAGAAATTTTAAACCTCATTGTCCGATCCCGTTTGTCTAAGAGTTTCTTAATTGATACTATTGAAGGGTTTCAAAGATCTGGGATGATCTGTTTGTATAATCGGAATTAGTTATGATCCGTGCGGCTTCTCAGCTTGTAATTTCCATAAGTTATCTATATGAGATGTGTTATTACCATGCCATATAGTAGAGCAATAATTAAAATGTGGCAAGACTAGCGAGTTGTAAATTTTGACCAACTCCTGCTGTGGGACAAATTCTTTTGATTTTCGTAAAAGAGCTATGGTTTTTGAATTTTTTTTGCATTGTTCTTCGTTGTGCTTGTTCCATTTTAATTGGTCATCAATGGTGAGTCCAAGCACAGTTTTTTCCCTTACCTGTTTTATTTCATATTCACCATATTTTATCTTTGGACTTTCTAGAATTTTTCGGAGGTTATTTGGTGATCCAATAAGCATGTACTCGGTTTTCTTCAGTTTTAATGTTAATTTGTCACTTATTAGCCATTTATGGATATTTTTAAGTCACAGTTTAGTTTGAATTCAATGTCTACCGACGATTTTCTCTGACAAGAAGGGTTGGTTGCGTCCGCAAACATTGAGGCCTAAGTAGTTTGTAGACATTTTGGAAGGTCGTTAATGTATAGATTGAATAATAAAGGCCTAATGTAGAACCCTGTGAAGCGCCACTAAGTATTTCAGATATGTCCGATTCGGCATTATTGATTTTACAAATTTGTTTCCTTTTGTGTAAATAAGATTTGAACCAATTAAGGGAAGTTTCTCTTACCCCATAGCGTTCAAGTTTAGCTAGGAGTAAAGAATGGTCAACTGTATCAAATGCCTTTTTGAGGTTTAGAAATACAACTCCGTTGATCAGCCCTTTGTCCACATTGTCTAAGAAATTAGTTACTGAATTTAGGAGACTAGTCTCTGTCGAATGATTTGGACGAAAGCCGGATTGATTCTCAACAATAACTTCATTAAATTTTTATTCAGAAATTCTATTAGCTGACTATAGATAAATTTTTCAAAAACTTGAGCTATATTTGATATAATGGATATCGATCTATATAGTTTCCACAATTTGTCTTATCTTTAGATTTGTAGATTGGTGTAACCCGAGAAATTTTCCAGTCATCTGGGAATATGCCAGAGTTTATAGACAAATTGAATATAAAAGTCAATGACTTCAGAATAGTTTTTCCTGCAGCTTGCAAAAGTTTGATCGAAATTTTGTCAATTCCTGCAGCTTTACTTGTTTTCATGCTAGTTATAAGAGAGTTCACTTCATCTTCAGTTATTGATTTGAAAGAGAATGAGTTTGAGAGAGATGAAACATATAATAATGGATCCGTATCGTTATCAGGAATTTCTTTTGCTAGATTTTTGCCTACTTGGGAAAAGAATTTATTGAATTCATTAGCAATTTCTTTGTCCCCTGTTACTATTTTATCATTTATATTAATCTCGTTGACAGTTGTCGTTCTAGACTTTCGATTTAATAGTTCGTTCAGTGTTTGCCAGCTCTCTTTGCTGTTTGAGCTGTTAATTAATTTAGAATTGTAGTAAAGCCTCTTGGTTTCCTTGATACATTTATTTAGTTGGTTTTTGCATTGTTTGTAAGCCTGGAAATAGTAGGGGGAATTTAATCTAACGCCTTCCTTTTTTAGGAAGTCTCTGTGATGAGTTTGTTTCTGAATCTCATTAGTCATCCATTTGGAATATTCACTTTTTACTCTTTTACTTCTTAGCGGCCCGTATTTATTTGCAATTTCTAAAAAAAGTTCTTTCCAAATTTTCCATGCCTCATTCGGATCATTGAATAACATAAATGAGCTGAGCGCTTCACTTAAGTCGCTCTGAAATCTTTAAGCATCAAAATGTTTGAATTGTCTCGTTTCTGTTAATTTAGGGTTTTCTTTCTGGGTGGAAATTTTTCGACATATGTAGACAAGACTGTGATCACTGATCCCTAAGTGTATAATCCCTGAGTCAATTGTTTTGGTATCATCTAATTTAGTGCTAATGATATCAATTGGGGATTGGGTGTTTTCAGTTATTCTTGTAGGTGCGGTTATATGTTGTTTTACTTTTAGTTGGTAATTATGCAACAATTCATTAAGTTTCCCAGTTGGTGTATTTGTTTCGCTTGCCAATAAATTACAGTTAAAATCTCCCGTCAAGGCCATGTCTTTGTTCTCACATTCAAGTTTTTGTATAAGTATTTCAACATGTTCAAATATTTCAGTGTTTGAGTCTGGAGGGCCATAGCAGAAACACACTATAAGCGGTTTCATCTTCGGTTTTTTTACTTCAATGCTTCAATCCCTCTAGAACAACAGGGATTATATCATTTCAGTTGATATAGACAAGATTGTTCCATACGTAAATTGCGACGCCACCGCCGTGGCGATTCCTATCACGTCGAAAAATATCGTATCCTTTTAATTGAATTGTTTAGCCTAGTTTCCATTAATGCAAAGTATTTCAAATGGGATTTCTTTTTAGGAATACTTTAAGTTCCTCAATATGTTTAGGTAGACTAGCAATATTTAGATTACCAACTTTGATTAAGATTACCAACTTCAATTTTGGATAGGAAAACTTATATTTGTTTTGGATAAGAGTGTAGAAGCGTCTCCTGCCGATTTATCTAGGGTGCAATGATTAGAATAGTTTAGTCAATTAGAAGTAGAGTTAGATAATAATAGATGAGTCTTAATATTTCTGGCTAGCATTGCTGAGCCCTGTTTATTCAAATGCAGGCCTGAGGCATTTAAATGTAAATCCTTAATGTTTTTATGCGTGATTGGGTAAAACGCGGATATGACGTTTAAAATTTGTTTTTTTGAAAAGTAAGTTATCCGTCCGTCCGTCCGGCGCTATCCGTCCGTCAGTACCAGCTAACCTAACCCGCCAACAAAAAGCAGAACATTTGAACGACTATTTTGTTAATATTGGGCCGACCCTTGCTGCTGAATGTGAATGTTCATCCGATTACGAAGACCTCCACCGTAACTCAAATGAGGCAAATTCACAATTTCATTTCCGCATAATCACTGAATTCAACATTCTGAAAAACCTAAACAATCTAAAAACATCCAAGGCAACCTGGGTTGACGGGATCCCTGAAAAAATATTGAAATAATCTAGCAATATTATTACCCCATCTCTGACTTATATCTCAAATCTTTCAATTTTTTCTGGTATATTTGTTGACGATTGGAAAATAGCTAGGGTAACACCTATTTACAAATCAGAAGATGGAACGAAATGTGAGAACTACCGCCCAATATCCATTCTTCCCATAATAAGTAAATTATTTAAGAAAGAAGTATTTGATCAACTTAATCAATACTTGATAGATCATTTATACAAATGAGTGATAAGTGGATTGAAAATATAGACAATGGAGAAAAGTAGGTAACCCCCCCCCTTATAGCGCCAAAATCACGCAACGCGTGATCCCCACGCGGTACGTCGAAAACTGTCGGATTTTGCAATGATTTTCCTGAAGATATAGTCGGTCTCCACGCGAGAGTGTGACTTTATTTTAACCGTAATTAAGTACACAATAAGGATTTACGAGAAAAAATATTTTATTTGTCAGGTTACACAT